AGGATTTGGTCTTTGACAAGGGTATCTTAAAAATGAGACACGAGTTTTGTTCAGTTGTGTAGGATTGCAGGAACGGATCGATTCCTTCTGATCTATTATGTAGTTAGGGCTTACATTTCTACCCCTGAACCGGAGGGATTAATATGCCGCCGTGTAACATATTCCATGTGGGCGCCAGGGATAGTTGGGACATGTAGGCGTCTGTAGGCGTTGGCCCCCATCTTCTCCAACTTCTATGGCCGCGTCGAAACAGGCTCTCCTTTCTTTCGCAGGACAGTCTTAGACGGTAGGACCAATCAACCTACTTGTAAATCTGCTGTTTTGAATGAAAGGGCTGCTAGACCTGGTCGGTGATGAGTTGGCGCATCAAATACGTGCTTACATTTAGTACTTGTGGTGCAGAGGCGCCGGGTTTTGCATAGTGATGGATGGTACACGGAAGACGATGCTGCCTAAATTGGAATATTCATCGAACATTCGATTATCGTTCCTTTGGTACGAAAGTCTAGCCAAGAAACGCAGATCAACCTTCTATTTTATGGAGGTGGCTGTGAATTTGCTTACATTTGAGAGGCGTTGAACTGTTGTTAATCGGGGTTTCTCTCATTGACCCTCTTATAGGGCTGAGTACCTTATGCTAATCGCATCATCGTCACGATCATCTCATCCTCCGCCATTAATCGGGGTTATGATTAGATGAGAACTTTAACTAAATCTGGTTAATTAGGATAATTATCGTGAGAGATACTTAATGCATGACTGGTAAGCGCTCTTGTTAAACAATTAGTTATACGTTTTTAGACTGGGTTTCGCCAATGATGCTCAACCTTTTTATGATAGGGGTAGGCATCGTTTTATTATTAGATGATTTCCGACTTTATGGAGAATGCTTCATTATCTGGCTCGGTATAGGTTGTGAAGCCTCGCGCCGGTACTCCGACCGTAGTGATCTAGATAGAAATTGAGTCAATTGTTTGCGAACAACCCCTGGTGACATCCTAGCCCTTGGCGCTGTTAGACTCTTATTACTGTGTAGGTTACCGTAGGACGGTAGGACGACAGGAGGATAGGAGGACATGAGAATTGACAGCCCAACCGCACGTCGAGAAGACGATATCGTTCATGGCTTGAGGAGGTGGAGTAAGCAGAATTCATGCAATGCGCATCCGTCACGAGGCGATCCTTCGGATTTTCACGTGGCATCATATCGCGTGTATCACACATGGAGCATGGAGGAGGCAAATGCATATTGCAACACGACATGACGTTTTTAAAAGCGCTGTCTTAAAGTCGGACGGTGTGGATGGCCTAAAAGACTACCTAGGTATGTATTGTGTAAATGCGAACGGTGCGCTTTACCCTGTTGAGAGGTATGTACATACATAGATCTGGTGTGGTATATTAGGATGTATGTATGTAACGCGCCTCTGTTGTAGTAGCACATAGTGGACGCTCTATCACAATAACATCTTGGCATATGGGCGTAATGTTGTAGTATGTTTGCTTGAGAAGGATTTCTCAACTTGACCATTTTAGTTAAGGAGTAAACGAATAGATTTTACCTGAAACGGAATATGACATCAATATTTTCGCCTATTAATTTGGCCTATACCATGGTTGTCTATATGTCTATATGTTTATATGTCTATAATGCCTATAATGCCTATATCTATATGTTATGATAAATAATCATATTGTCATAACACCGTTCTAATTGCCACACTTATTCCGATGTGGAACTTTTGTACTCCCTTCGAGCTTCTTTTTTTAGATCGAGACTAAAGTAGATTAGGTCACATAGCTTGTACCGTGCGCGACGTATTTTGACCAATCATTGCTTATTATTCGAGTTGCCATCATTCAAATTCCCATCTTAGACATACATGTACCTAATTTACCAAAAGGCCAATGAATGATCTTTTGCTCGGACTCACAAATTGAATTGTCTTTCTAAACGCTCTAGAAACTTTCCTAACTAAGGCGTAAATGCTACTTACGGATCTTGTTATGAGCAGTAATCTTTACGGAAAACAACTTGAATCTGAGACAAGAAGCATGAAGTATGGTTCGGTATAATCCCGGATGATAATAAGTTTTAAAGGTTGTTGTAAGCTACGATGTTACATCTTTTCTTTTTCCCCCGCTTGGAAGTTTGAAAACTTGAAAACTTGGGACTCTAGGAACTTAGGAGCTTTATGAGATTTGCGGCTCACGGTACTCTATGCGAGTCTTACATCCCCTTGCATCGTAACTCTTCATCCGAAATACTACTAAATACTGCCAAATGCTACCGGCTGCTTACAAAGATATTGACCGCTTCACTTGTCCGGACATGTGCGAAGTGAAACTGTCACCAAGGTAGCTGGCTGGCTCGTTTTGGACATACCGCCGCTTCAAAAACGGAAGATGCATATATTAATGGTGTTGCTATGTGCAGAGTGAGAAAAGTAGTGGAAATGACAAAATCGCCAATCAGACTTCATAATGGTATTATTTCATACTATTACCTGCCTGACTTCACAACACTATGGGCTGGTCCGCAGTATGACACGTGCATCCTGCCGCAGAGCCCAGGAAAAGGGGGCGGTGCTTACATTACCGCACCGGAGATATACATATATACATGGCTGTGTAAATTGTGCAAAGCCCGAAAGATGACGCTCCAATATACACAATGTACTACTCTTCATGTAACTACTATCTTTTATGTACTATCTACAGTATAGACTGATAGGTATGCAGACTGATTGATGTACCTAAGATGCGATACGATACGATCGGACGTTTGAAACCTCCACACTAAATAAGTTGACGATGATATCGGCAATATAACTGACTATCTTACGTCGGCGGGGAACATAACGGCGCGAAGCCTCTTTAACTCTTTGCTATCTACCTAACCTAATGTATGTAGCGCCCCTGTCCTCCGCCTTAGCCATCGTTCGGTCTGCCGTTCTGCACCAACGCTACCGTTTTCCGGACCCGCTATTAGGCGTTCTTGAGACATATTTCTCGTCTCCTATTACTAGATTCAGAATACCCCGACAAGATACTCTAGCCTGGAGCATAGCCTAGAGAGCTAAGGAAGAAAATGTGCGCGTGGTAAGCATACATAGTGTAGAGTGTAGCATACATTTTACTGAAGTAGATATGAGACACATCTATCGATAGGTTAATTCCAGAAGGTAGATGTCCCCGTCTAGTTCTCGCCTTTTTTCGGGTTCGGATTCTGGCTCTGTTCCTCCTAGGAGCTCTAGAGCGTTTCTGGGGTTCTATTCGTCAAATTAAAAAGAAAAGGGAAATGAGGAAAAAGGAAAAATAACATTTCAGGATCCTAGAACCTTATACTGGCAATGAACCCTGTTTCTTAACTACTGTATTTACACCATCGAGACTACGGGGAATATCTATACTAAGCAAGGACAGTTCTTCTCGGCTTTAACTGTAATTAATTGTCTTCATTGCTTAATCCCATGTATATCCGTCGTTTCCGTAGAAATAATGTAAACAAACGACTATGCTTGTCGTGAAGATGAATTCCAGTGATCTAACGATGCCAATTAGAGATGACCAGCAGGGCTCCCAGACATGCATCTCCTGGGATTTAGCACGGTAGCAGGGGGGGAAGATGGTTAACGGGGACTACTCTCTTGTACCGTATACAACATATACTACCTGGGTATATTATGCCTATGCTAAGATAAAAAGGACATACCACTAGTACAAATCAGGTGTCTACTCGATTGACGGGACCTTTGGCGACTGAAAACAACGATTGACAACAGATGGGAAGACAGATTATGCCGTGTACTTTGTAAATCGTGGGTGCCAGGGGTCATTTGGGGAGCCCACCGTCCCACCCTACCTCTTTGCAAAAAAGAACAGGCCTGCAGGCCTTAGGTATTTTGGTACTCTAGGTCTAGGTACTCTAGGTATTGAGTCTTGGTACTTAGCCTTAGCACAACATTAGGTGTGTGATGCTCTACCAATAACACCAATAACGGGGGCCGCCTCAAAGCAAAACAACTCCACGGTCCAGCTTATCATTCGTCTCTTTGAATTATTGACGGGCGGGATACTAATTGTACCCACCTAGGTCCTTCACCCACGCTACTTGCTGACGGCCTCGCCTAAGAATGGAAGAGACGCTAGCAAGGTGACCCTATGGGGGGTCGAAATGATGTACGTAGGTACCGAGTATGAGTTGAAGTTTGACACACGGTATGACCCAAATAAGGCTCTGGATCGACTTTGTAATCCCTGTTCTCACCGCTGCCGCGGATTCTGCCCTTCTGCCCTATCAACCCACATCTCAAATGGGCAGCATGGAGATCTACGTACCTTGAGAGAAAAGCGCGGCTGTGCGCGCGAGTGTGTAGTGTATATAGAATAAGAAGCCCCCAAAGCATTACCGGTTCCTACTGTCCCATCTCTATGACCTCGGACTATGCTAAACTACTTAACACTCCCGCTCTACCCTCCCATCTTACCATCGTGGTTACTGGCCGCTTAGAGCAATATATATAATAGACTCTGTTCATACCCGTGCTTGTCGTGTTCGACACGAGGACCCCTCCCAAGTCATCGCCATTCATAGCCTCACCGTGTGAGGTCGTATGTTAGAAGAGCTATAGGATTGGAAGAAGAAGGCATCACGAATTTGTGTGGCGCGACAACTCACATCGATCATTGCCCAAGCTTTGCGACTTATATAAATTCTCATTACTCCACTGGCCGTCTTAGTGACACTCCATTCGAACGTCACACTACCAACTCACCAAGTCTATACTCGGTTCCATATAGATCTTAGCGGGTCTTGATATGGTATAATTCCAGACGAATGTGAGCTTTTATTTCACCGCATAAACTGTAGTCATATCCTGTGTCCGGACTAAGACACTGACGAGAGGGGAGACGATTAGCGTGAGCATACCGGCCGGGATTCCTCTTACAATTCACTACAAGTCTATCCCCGGAATCGCCGACAACGTAAAATTATAATGGCCATGGTTGGCGACCACCAATCTTACGATATGTTCCCTCGACACGAGCACGATTTCAGGCTTTACCCCGAAGCCCACCCCCAGACGGGCTACACTTCACCCACGCTAGAGATGCATATGAGTCCAGGCGCTTTTAACATTCCCCGGAGTGTCCAGGAAGACTACCGTCCAGTCTCGGGATACGAAGCCGGCTCCATGTACCCGGAAACGCACCTCATGTACAGCAATAACCACAATAGAGCTTCCCCTAGCATGTTCCCTGAAGACTACGAGATGCCAGCCTCAAGCCTCTCGGCTCCCTCAGAAACGGCGTCTTCAACCGTCGGGTCGCCTAACTCAAATCACGGCCAATTAGCTTTCTTCCCCGAGTACCAACAGAGTGGTCTCGGTGTGAACCCGGGAATTGTCGACTCAAGCAATTACTTTACAGGAACGGAATACTCTACTTATCCCACTATGGATGAATTTAACATGGCTTTTGTTGACAATAAGGCTATTGGTGAGTTGGCGCGGGTTTCATTTTTTAATAATTTCTTATTCGTCACCAACCGTAGCCCTTTTCTATCATTGTATGAGAATTGAGTTTAGTGTTGGTTTTGTCAGGCGCCGTCATTTCGAGATTGAAGATAGAGAGGGGGAGTTGGATACCTATGTTGATTTCTTTTAACCGAATACTGAATTACACAATACTTACAAATGAAGACCACGATGCGCTGACCAAGAAGCCCATTCTACAGATCCTTCACTAATACGCGGAACGATGGCCCCACCGATGCAGGGGTACGACAACTTCTCCCCTCAAAACCCTTATCCTACTTCTCCTGCTCTCTCTGGTACTGCTTCACCTGCGCCAGCCATGCGCAACGGCAGCCAATCTCCCTACATGCACCCCTTTCAGCAATACAGCCCTTTCCAGGCACCACCTGCTGCGCCAGCCAGGCGACAGTCTCTATCATCTTACCAATCACATGGGTCGCACGAGTATGCGTATAACAGCGACGAATCGGAGAAGAAGCAAAGATGTCCACACCCAGATTGTGGGAAGGTCTTTAAAGACCTTAAGGCCCACATGTTAACACACCAGAATGAGAGGCCAGAAAAGTGCCCCATTCAAACGTGTGATTATCATGTTAAGGGTTTCGCGCGGAAGTATGACAAGAACCGACATACATTGACCCATTACAAGGGTACCATGGTGTGCGGATTTTGTCCTGGGTCAGGCTCGGCCGCCGAGAAGTCCTTCAACCGGGCTGATGTCTTTAAGCGGCATCTAACCGCCGTACATGGCGTCGAGCAGACCGCCCCTAACAGTAGGAAGAAGGCAACCTCGGTGAACAGCGGCAAGAAGTTAACTGGCTATGCGCCAGACGCCACAGGCAAGTGCTCGACATGCTCAGCTACGTTCGAGAATGCCCAGGACTTCTACGAGCATCTGGACGACTGTGTCTTGCGCATCGTTCAGCAAGAAGATCCAGCAGAGGCCATCAACGCAAAGCGGTTGGCCGAGGTGGAACATGACGAGGATGTTCACCAAACGCTTGAGAAAAACCAACTGCCTCTTACCACACAAAGTGTCCCTAACTCCGATGACGAGGAGGATGAGGATATGGCTGAAGATGACGACGCCGGGGATGATGAACACAAGCCGAGGAAGTTAACCTCTCCCACATCAAGGAAGAAGGGGAACCCGCCCAACGGTGTTCAAAAGTCGCGGGGCATGACACATTCGCGAGGCGGCGTACAATTATCAGGCAAGAGCAAGAGCCGCAAGAACCGACGCGAATACCCATCTTCATGGGGCTTTGATAAGGGCCAGATGACCATGAAGAAGCGGGTCATGGCAGTATTCGACGGCCCTCGCCGACTAGCTAAAGACGATATGATGCTTTCGACAGAGCACGAGATCCGCCTAAAGCTTTCTGACGACAAGTCATACGTAACAGACCTCGACATCCAGACGCTGAAGCGAGCTAACGGCTTCCTAAACGCCACAGAGGAAGAGAAGGGAATATGGATTTCGGATGATCCTACCGAGGACGACAGGAAGCGCATGGAGTATGGCCATTAGAGCTAATCGCGCCCGTATATAAATCACATCCACCTACATCCCTAATCACTACTGTATCGATATACATAGCATCATGACGACCGAGACGAAGATTGGGATAAGCATGATTGGCGCAAGGTCTGTTGTACGTTGGAATACTTAATGGCATACAAAAACCTATTAGGGGGGAAAGGGGAGGGGGGGACTTCATTCTCCGTCGGGGAGAAAGTTTATAACTGGCGAACTATAGAAAGGGGAGAAGCAGAAATATCTCATGAAGAGTATATCTTCCCCAACAGTCGCTCAGCGGCTGATAAAAATGTTCTATTATCTTTTGATATATTATGTAGTTTTTGATGGTCTGTATTGATACCCTATCTATTTTCTATCACGACAGCGCTGCGGAGACCGAACAAAGATTCGGTTTCGATCTTGAATAAAAGAAATCATCTCGCATTCGCACTACCTATTTTGACTACCTATATTCTTAGACTATTATGAATGTGAACGTGAGAGTGTGTATAACTTCGAGTAATAATACGTTGTCAAATCAATATTGATACTAGACATAACCCAATAACCAATAATCAATAACTATACTCTAGGTACTTAGAATCTTCCCCCTTTACACGGTTTAACTACAGTATACATCACCCAATCTCTCCACACACGTCAGTATATTGACCATGCAAATCCCGACGCATATTTTTCAAATCCCATCTCGTCCAAGCGAGCAATATAAACCAAATCCAGTGAACCAGTGAATGACCGTTTAGCTCATCTGATTGGAAAACCAAGACGACGGCATCTAATAACGAGGCTTCCCGGATGAATCCTCCTATTGCCTGAAACCGCAGGTGGTTTGGTATAATAGGTGAATATTTGCAGCTGAAACGGAGCATGTCATTTCCCATAATGTTGCGGTCGCAGCGATGGCAACCGGCGACCGGCAGCGAGATGAACGGGATAGCCAATACCACGAACCATTTTATTACCCGTCTACCTCCTCCCATCATCGCAATTGGATGGGGAACGGCTGCTGCTACTGCTGTCATGCTGACAAGTAGGTATATATCATTGTCGATATCAATGTCAGTATTAAACTTGACACCTTCAAATGCAACAATGCAACAATGCAACACAAGCGCGGCCCCGATAGAGGCCTCCGCGGATTAGGCCGTGGCTTTTTTGATGACCGTTTCGTGCATTTGCGCACCTAAGGCGCAGCTCCCGCATACCACGTGTATTGCCGGGGTATAAGAGAAGACAATTGTGGTTGGCAAGAAAAAAAAAAGGGTACAAAATTAACGTTAGCCTACCCTTCCGCATTGGCTGCCTGAATCAGGAAGGTTAGGGTCTTTTCATAAGCGGTGTAGGGGCGCAGCTTTTGCTTATTTGCAGCAGGACAATAGGCTGCTGGCCGCTGGCTGCTGGGAAAGCATAACGTAACTGCACGTTTGCTTAGCAGCGGGTATCGTATTATATGGACCTATAATGTAGGTGCCTACCTGGATTAGATACCTTAGGTTAGGTACATAACGAATAGATTCAAATACGCAATAAAAATGGAATAGGTACCTAAACGTAATATGTACCTGTCTACCTTTACCTAAAGCAAACGGTAAGGCTAGAGACAAGCGTCACTCGAACCGAGCCGATAGATAAGCTCTTTTCCCCACTACAAGTTCCCAATCGTGTTCTGTAAAAAATTCAATCCGAAACACGACCACGGCCCCATCAATCCAATATCATCATCATCATTATCACTTGATATATTACAAAATACAAACTCACTATAAATGCCACCGGCAGCGCCGTAGACGTACATATACCCACGCAGATGGGCGTTGATGAGCGCATATCTCTCTGCATTCCCGTAGGCTCTTCTAGACGCTACATATATACAAGTACGGTAATGGCGAGATTGATGTCATGTCATCTCAACACTGTAACACTGCATACATACATTGGTGTTGTGTACATACCAATATCTTGTTGCTTTTTCTTATTTTCCCCTTCTTCGTACCTATATTATATATTACATCCATGTACATACGTGCATACATACTAGTGTAGGTAGGTATATGGTATGGTACACATTTGCTTTTTTCCTTCTGTTCTTGTTCTATTTTAATATCGCGGGGGTGTGGCGTGCACACACACACACACACTTATAATACAACATTACATAGACGGTGTCACTTTTCCGCCCGGCAAGGTTCGCAACGGAATAGCTCCGTCTCTCTCCCCCAGTAAGTACAGGTTAGTATGTACCTAACCTAACCTTACCAGAGTACCTAAACCTTGTACTACCGGGGGGTGTCTGGACTGACCCAAATCTCTACTACTCTCGGTTTCGCTTCTGTGCCCAACTTTTGATCACACGCGCTTGGGTGCAGAGAACAAAAAGAAAAGAAAAAAAAGTTCTCTAGCACCCCAGCACCAAATCACACCCCCCCTGTACTTGAGCCTCAAATTACTCGGCCGAGCAGGATGGCCCTCACGAGCCGCATCTCCCTTCACGGTCCTCCATCGTCAGATCCTGAGGACTACCTTAGTTCTTCCTTGGGCATCATATTTCCGGATGATGTGACGAACCAGCATGGCGACGCGGAGCACTCGCTACTCTACACATCGCCGCACCTACCCAAGCCCCTGCACATCGCCCTCGCGGATCCGGACCGGGAGGCCGATCGCAAACTCTTTAGTCACTACCTGTGGAACGCAAGTCTGCTGCTTGCCGAGCTCGTCGAGGCCGGCACCCTTGGTTTACCCCTCGACATCGGTTTGCGCCGGCTCCAGCCCGCCGCCTTCAATGTCGCTAGCCTTGAGACACTTGAGCTCGGCGCCGGTACCGCGCTGCCTAGCCTAATGGCTGCTCTGCTCGGGGCTAAGGGCGTAGTCGTAACAGATTACCCCTCTGAAACTGTCTTAGGTACTCTGCGTAAGAACGTCGCGGCCAATGCCAAGACTGAGAACTCGCCCGGCAGCGCCCTTGCACCGCTAACAGTCGAGGGTCATTCATGGGGTGAGTTAGATACGCCTTTCGCAGCAGAACATCGGGGTCGGTTCGACCGTGTCTTCGTGTGCGACTGTCTGTGGATGCCGTGGGAGCACACCAACTTACATAAATCCATCGCGTGGTTCCTGAAGGATTCCTCAGACGCTAGAGCCTGGGTTGTTGCTGGGTTTCATACGGGGCGCGCTAAAATGCGCGGTTTCTTCGAGGACGACGCTCTTGCGACTGTCGGGCTTGAGGTCGAGAGTATATGGGAGCGCGACTGCGATGGCGTTGAGCGCGAGTGGGTTTGGGATCGCGGCCAAGAGGACATTAGCATACGGAAGCGGTGGCTAGTCGTCGGCGTACTGCGGCGGAGGGCGTCGACAGTTGAAGGGTAAAATACATCCCATGTCCACTGGCCTCTGAAAACTAGGTTCCTAAGTCGCGAGCTCTGGGTTATCGGCTCAGGGGCTTTATACTCTAGATATCTGAGAGTTACATGTATAAACGGTAAGGTGATGCTGTCTGTCGTCCACCTAGTTAATGCAATAGGAATCGCGACCATATGGCTATAAGCCTAGGTAGTCTATGTATGGCAATGGGTATGGAACTAATCTCCGGGTGGTACTAAGCCAGCTATTAAGTAGTAAGACTATTGTATTAGGTACGAATAGATATCTAAAGTCCCGTAGACAAGACGATTTAAGGCCTTGCTCTCCTATAGCCACTTAGACATATCAAGTATAAAAGACCAATCTCAAATTACTCGAGATAGATGCTTACCAAGAAAGAACGTAAGAGGTAGTCTACACAACTTTATTAGTTGTAGCAAAGACCCCGATCATATCCCTATTCCTCTAAATACTAAAATATATTTAAAATTGTTCGATGGGTGAGCTCCGGCTCTATTTCTCGAGCCAAGCCAGTCATGGCAGGTTTATGATTAACTAAAAGTTACAATAGTGAACCTCGACCGAAGTAGCAGTAACCGAAATCGACATCTGGTTTGATGCAGCACCTACTAATTCGTAGAAGCCATCGCGCATTGTGAAAAGTATAGTCATTATTCCGTCGACCCAAGTGGATAGTTTTACCAACAGCGCAAACGTTTATCCATTACTCTCTTTCTTGCGCTCGGCGACCATACTCGATCATGGCTTCCTGTATCAGGTAAATTAGGTACCTAATGTAGAACTTATTCGTTATTAGTTTGGCCTGCCAACGCCGTAGCTCGTTAATACAAGCCGAAAGCTCCTCACCTAATCATCGTCCGAATACGTCAAACCTTTGCTATGTATAGTACTGCTTGCTAGGTATATATTTTCTGAACTTACTCGCTATAGGGAACGCTTCTTGAAAACATCTTGTAATTACTGCTAAACTACCCGTCTATTAAAGTCATCCAGGTATACCCATTCCCTTTAATAGGATAAATCTAATATGCGTCATATACTTTATATATATTTTATGATATGTACGTGCTTATCTGTGTCTATGTATATAAAGCCCGACGTCCCATCTCCAAAAGTCCTATTCATTAATCTCATTGGTCCTCTATCTAACTACCTAATGAAGAAGACAATCCAATATATAGATAAGCTATGCTAAAATAAGATGCTCGCTTCATACCAGTCTCATTCATATGCCGCCGATATATAGATATGTGATAGATAGTATCCATATGTGCGACAAGATAAGGTATCTTTTTCTGTGTGTAATGTTGACGTAAATGCAACTGCAGTAGCACCTTGGTCGGGATAAAGAATTCATATATAATGAAATAAATATTTCCGACCAAAAGATAGCAGCTTCCAACGGGAGAGCACGAACAAGCTGTCGGGAGTAAATTCCATATGCAATCCTGCGTGCCTACTGCTGGTCTGGTATCCAAGTAGAAACGAAAAAACAATAAAAGAAAAAGGTATACTGCGTAAGGGATACTAACCAATATCCCAAGTGATTAGACCTTCGTTGGCGGGTCGTTCATCCATCCATCCATCATGCGGTCATTTTGTTTTTTTTCCTCCTTATATCGTGTACCAAACGCCAAACAGTCCATCCATCCACCTCCTCTATCCTCCAACTCATCGGGAATATCTGTAGCCTTCCCTAGCTGCTAGATAAACCTCGTCTGACCTCTACGCTGAGCATATTAGCTCCGAAGAGGAAAGGCCCTGTCGGGCTTGTGGTGGGGTTGATGTGATATATTCTAGATTACTGCCCAGCCGATAGCTCTAACGGCATATTCTCGCCCTTCTCGAAAGCGGGGCCAGGACCCGAGTAGCTAGGCGCCGGTATGGGTGTTACGCCTCTCGATTTACGATTTCCGGTCGTAATGATCCGAGGTAACGCTTCCAAGTTGGACTCGAGGCTATGAATCGCACTCGAATTGGCGCCAGCTTTCACCGGCTGCGGGCTCACAAGCGTGGACGGCTGTGCGGCGTGGCTAGCGTGAGTAGAGTGTAATTCACCACTGTCTTTGCCATCACCAAGCTTCTGCAGTAGTGAGTTATGCCACTCAGACAGCTCCTGTAGCTTGACTGCAGGGTCCTTTTCAGAGCGTAGTATGTTAGTTATATCACAGAGGCAGGCCTCAGGGGTCCACCGAGTCCCGTGCTCACATACCCATTCAGACTGCGTCGGCACACCTTGTGCGGCCGGCAGCAGCGGGTTGTCATTGCTACCGTCCCATAATTTCTGTCCACGGACGGGCGCTGGAGTGACTGGCAAGCTAGGACGTTCAGCTTCGCTGGGGAAGTCGGTAACCTTGCTTCCTCGCCTGCGATGAGTCACCTCAGGCTGTTGGACAGGATCCTGCAATAATACCGCGCTAGGAGGAGATTTGAGGCTCGGCTTCTGCTTGTGCCTTTGTATCTTATCAACATAGCGTTCAATTTCAGGCACATCGTCCCAGGCATTGGTCATCGTAAACGAGGTCCAAGTAGCCGGTGTGATGTGAATAGTTGGTGTGGTCGGTGTGACTAGCTCGCTCCTCTGGTCATCTGTGGATGCATTTGTAACAGAGGGCGCATTCCATGGTCCACCCGTAGGCGTTTGTGCGCCACTGGACAGAGCCTCCTCTTCTTCCTCCTCCTCCTCTTCTTCTTCAGGTTCCTCCTCCTCTTCGGGTTCCTGGGGGTAATCTTCGGCGAACACGCGAGAAGGCGCTGATCGCTGAGTCTCCCAAGGGAATATATGTTTCATGGGGGGCGCACCAGGCTCCCTAGGAGGTTCATACCACTTTGGTGCGACCCACTGAGTAGTATCTTGAGACATATGATATACAGTAGAGGGGAAGTTCATAGCTTCCGGTCTGGAATTTTGTGGGGGAGCATGTCTATTTTCAAGTTAGTTCTTTAGCGTTCTAGGAATAGGTAACGAGGTTGGTAACAAACCTCTGAGCGTCCCAGCTTGGGGTGCTAGAGTGGAATGATGAATTCCCGTTTTGCCCACGCCCTCGGATGTATGCATTTTTAGTGGTACCGTTGGATTGGTATTCTCCTTTGGTAAGGAATTGCACGATCTCTGATGTGGTCTAGATATGGTAAGCTGAAGATCTAACATATGGAAGGGTTAATAGGGAACGTACCGATCCACGGTAATGTCGGTCATAAACAGCCCACCATCTTCCGGCCATTTCGTCATAGGGCGAGCTTCCAGTGCTAGCGCGTCGCCCTCTGAACCACGGCTTGTCGGGACCGATGAAATGAACCATGCTAATACCAGATTGGAAATGGCGATAAGCAGGGACATACTGGTAGTGACCTGAGGGGGTAACATTATAGGCGAAGCTGAGGCGGTTGTGGTTATTCTTGAAGTGCATGTTGATAAGACCCTGGTCAGCGCCGTCGAAGGAGATGCTCCTCTCAGCCATTGCCAACATGGCGTGGTAGTCACCCAGGTTAGGAGTTAGAGCCATGACACCAGTGTTGAAGAGATCCGGCCAGCCAATATCGGGAGCTGCAGAGAATGGGTGATCCAACCCAAAGAGCTCATCCGGAGCTCGGTAGGCGACGACATCAGCATCGATATACACGATCTTTCGGAATTGGGTCTGCTTCCACAAGTTGATCTTGGTAAAGGCAGAGTGCAAGTCGGCTCGGTTCATCAAGTGAAGATTTGCCGTTTGGGTATTGCGTATTGTGTCAACCGGAATGATATAATCGTAGACAGTCTATTCAATTAAGTTAGTCGGCTATAGCAATTAGGTGTTTGTGAAGCAGTAAACATACCTGGAGCTCTGTTATGACTTCGGGCGCTACGGTATCCTGCGTGACCAAAGCGGCCAACTTCTTAGTTGTACCAGCATCTCGTAGGGAGTGCGCAAGCACCAAAGCACCAGGCAAATATGTGTCGCTTAGGAGAAGCTATATGCGAACGTGTATTAGCTATTATTCATAGGCTCACTGAATGTATTCGGAATTTACTAACTGTAGCGTACACATCCTCCTGCGGTCCATCTTGCGCAGACATTTTGTGCAAGAAGTGGCGGTCAAATCACGCCGAAAAAAAGGTATGGTCGAGAGGGGTAAGATATGCGAAGAATATCAACGCTGGAGGGAAGAAGTATATTTGAGCTTAAAATTCGACAAAGCTATCTGCTCATAAAATAGACTATAGCTAAATTCGAAGCAGTGAGGAAAGTTATGTTAAGCTAGAAGAATTGTAAATAATAGTTGTAGCAAGGCTTGTTGTTTTTATCTATGGCGATGAAGCGGGATGGCTGGTCTAGCCAGTTAGTTGCAAATAACCCTGTAGTGTATGTATTTTTTTTTTCCTTCTTTGGACTTTGGACTTTGCCTTCCAAGAGACAAGGTTGAAGAGGAGATCATCAAAATGGACCGTGGTCGATATGCAAATGCAACGCTAGCGTTACTTTCATCAACAAGATGAACAAGGATTTATGTGGATTATATGTATTTACTTACATGTCCTTGGTCCAGCGATGCACTTATCTGGGTCTCAAGCTTAGTGTTTTGTCTGGAATAGTTTAAGGCATTGCTTAAGGCGTTCAATATTAGGCATATGTGCTTCAACCTAGATTTAGTTTGATGGTTTAGAGATAGGATTGGTTCAAATATACTAGGCTATGGTTCCCAACTGAAATTGATAGGTATCAAGAGTCGTATGTTCTGGAAGAGTTTGAAAGTTGAAAGATATCAAAATTTTTGAAAAATACGCAATACGCGGGGCATATGCATATGTACTCGCATATGTATAATTGAAAGATAAATACAATAGCCTTTGAAAGATGAAAGACGTCTGCATGTTTGGCGGTATCGCTGATGGAACCTTAATGATGGAACCTTAGGGACTACGGACCCACTAAGAACCATTATCAGCACCTATCAATACCAATCAATACCTATCAATACCAGAGCACAGGCCTATATTATCT